AAACTATTAATAAAAATATAACTCACAAATTGGATTATTCACATGCCTAAATTAATACATTTACTTATTAAAAACAGTATTTTATTGAAAATTTCGCTGACTAAAGAGTTATTTGCGATATATGATTTTGCAGTCAAAATTCATTTAAATAACACAAATATTTATATCAAAACGTGCCCATATCGCTTAATTTTACTCCAATAATGATTTGGCCCGACCTAATATATATATACTAGATGACCCGACAGACGTTGTCCTGTACCCACCTCTACGTTTTTTAATATCCTATACTAATATTTATACCGTTCAGTTAAAAATAATCATTATTGTTTTTCGAGTTACTATTTACACCAATATATGAGTGATGTTAAATGTAGTACTGTTTCAAATAAAATGATTATTTTCAATTCCCACAGTTAACATTTTAATTATCCTTTTAACAAATATTAAAATATGTTCAATAAAATTATATATTAAAAATTATACACTGCAATTTATAGAACAAATTTATTTCCAATAGCTCAATTTATTTTATTGAATTTAAGGGTTATACAATATTTTTAGACATACCTGTAGATGTGGATGTTTAAATGAATGATTTCTTGTTTATTCACGGCTAAAACATTGATTTTCCAAATTTATCACCATGTATTTATTGTCATAGAAGATACACGTGTTGAAAATTGAAATTTTTTAAAAAGTATAACAAATTCAGAAAGAATTAATATATAGCATGCGGTCAAGGTACAATATCACCTTGGATTTTCTACCCAAAATAATTGCTTCAATAATGTTGCCTACAATTTTTATAATTTCGTACCATATTTTAACTGGCTTTTAGTATTTTAATATCTAAATTGCATTTTTCATACTAATAATTCGATATATATTATTACTTAAGTTCATATTTGAAGTGAATTAATTTGTCAAATTTTGTTCACATGTGCTCTATTCAACCTACTATCAACAAAACTATTGCAGTAAATGAAGAGGAAAAAAACGTATGCCAGCTAATCTTAATCTAAAGTTCAGAAGTGAAAACAATTTGCATTTTGTCACCACCCCCCGAATTAATTGGATTATAACTCTTTTAATTCTGATTTTATCAAAACTTGTAATATACTATTTTAAAGGTGATTAAATGAGATACAACTTTCTCTATCACAAATTTTACCGTAACTTCTCTTATTTTGAAACGGCGAAGGGTTAAAGGGCTCGAAAGACACTCCGGTTGGACAGCCGCGCACTCTTTAAACAATTAGAACTCTATCAATATTTGTGTAACAAAAAAATAATAAAAAGCAATACTTTTATACGTATTCTTTCAGAGATATTATATTATAATTATCATTAAATGAGAAATTGTTTTTTTTTTAAATGGATTTTTTTATGAAATCATGAGTTTTTTGAAAATGTGTACTAATGTTATGGTATTTTCTAGAATCAATCAAGATCTCTCAAACCAAGTTAATTCTAGATGGAAAACAATTATTTTTAATTTTGGTGGAAATGGCACTCATAAACTATTTGATTTAAATGAAAAAAAAACGTTGTATGCATCTTTTAATTGCATGATAGCTTACTCATTTTACACGCAGAAGTACTTTTTTTAAAGCTTATTTGGAGAACTATAAAAATCCATTTTCATAATTAACTTAATATTGTTCCTAGAACACTGTAAAATAGCGATTTATTAGGATTTTTATTGATATAATTTTGTTCATTACATAATTTTAGTTAAAATGTATATTTTTGAAGATATTAGCAAAAACGACGAAAAACGCAAAAAAGAAACACATTTCAGTAGCCAGTAACTTGAAAAATTTGCTTTTTTGAAAAACATTATTAAACATTTTTCTCTTATAATTAGTTCTTTTATCGAAACCCAACGTTATTACACCACTGAAACGAAATGGCATCCCCCGGGTAGTGCAAAGGAGTCTAAATTGTTTTTACTTTTGAACTTGAGAGTAAAATGAGCCTAATTCCAAAATTTCAAACGAATTGGAAAACAGTAAAAAAAAGTTCAGACCCAAAGCGCTCCATTGAGTAAATATTTCGTACAAAATGCCAACCATATGAATTTTTGACACAATGAAACTTCTAAATAATTGTTTGAATAAGTATTTTTTTTTTGTAATGTGACTTAGTATAATAAGGCAAAACGACCGCATATTGAACATTTTTGAGCGCAATCACTTACGGCTCGTCTCCTTTGCACGAATTCGTACGGCGAATCTATTCGCAAAGTGCGCAAACAAAATTATTGCAAGCAAAAGCACGTGTACGTTGAGAACACAATTCGCCGTGCGCGTCAGACGCATACGCAGACTTGTCAGATGCATGTTATATTATTTGAATCTTATATTAATTTAATTTTTGGCACATCTCAGCTGCTTTTCGTCATTAATAATGTAGACATTACATTTTCCTTATTTATAATCATGAATTTATTATATTTAATATTGCCTTAGCCTATAAGTGAATCGAAATGTTTGGCAAATGACAGTCTTCAATTGTTTTTAATGTCAAACTAAGCTTCAAATATTTTCAAGGGCAAACAATGATAAGCGGTTTTTTGAAATTTTTCCATTTATTTCTACAATCTAACTGTATTTCTATGAATCAAAACATTCTAGAAAATGTCCTGAACAAACTTCAGGAAAATTCATGAAAATCCGAATTATAGTTTAGGAGGATTAATGAAACTTACATTGTTACAGAAGAATTTTATATATAAGATATATATATACATATACTTTTGACTTGAGAGTAAAATGAGCCTAATTCCAAAATTTCAAACGAATTGGAAAACAGTAAAAAAAGTT